AGAATCATACCAACCCACTCTGTATTACTACTTACTTACTTTACTTTACTTCGGCTATCTCCTACGGGAGGATGAGCCGGCTTCATGAACGTCTCGAATCATCGCTGCCCAGGCGCGGCAATTTGTAAGAGAGTTCATGAAGTTTCATGGGAATTAGGTACGAGTGATGTCCCCAGCATCGCTCGGCCTTTTGTTTGAGAGTGCAGCTCTAGCCTTTACACAGCCAAGTGTGACAAGGCAGTAGGAGTGGAGTAAGGAGTCCACTATCCATTGGCAGCCGGTGACCGGAGTTCGGTTCATACGCCTTTTTGAATGGGGCCAGACATCCAGGACATCCAACAAGCCCTTTGTCCATACGTCTGCCGGTGAGCTCCAGTGAGCTTCATACGCCAGTCGTTGGAGGTTTGGAATCAGGGTTTAGCCATCTCCCCTAGACTGTCATCCAATGGACAGTCAACCCGGTGGAGAGCGCCGGGCATCCGCTTTCGCCCTCTCACTTTGGTGAGAAACACCTCCGCCACGTGAAGGCAGTGAGTAGGACTTCCTCAGGAGAGGCTATGTAAGACGCCCGGTCATATGGGAGCATTTCAAGAGGTGTGCGGAGGGGTGGCCAACTCGCAGCGCAAGGCACCCACCCCCGACCATCCTGAGGCTTTGGAGGTATTACATTACTCTCTAAAACTCAGAACACAGGGGTTGTTGTAACAGAGCATATTGACTACCTCTGTAGATATTTCAGTAATCAGCAGTGTGGTATCATACTTCATCCGACGTATTCGTCCCTGACAACACTCACGTACATCGCATAGGTCAATGACGATTTCATTCTGGACTGTATTATTCATCCTGGCATCTCTATCTTCTCCAAGAGTGAACGTTGACGCATTGGCCAAGTCCTCCTCTTTCGTACAAATTCCGGAACATATATTTACATACGTATCAGCCTGAAGCATTTCTTTGATTGACTGACAAGCAGTGACAGGAAAGTATGCGTGAAAAATTGAACTGACACATGTGTCCAGAGCGTGTCCCTAATTAGAATAATTCAATCTAAATCATAAAAATGTGCAGGCAATTACAGACAGTTGTAACCTCGAGTCCACCAGCGATCTTCAATGATACAACTCGTACTTAGTACCATTAGCTGGTCCATATCAAATTGTTCCATTCTACGCACACAAGAACCAACTCGCTACCAGCGAAGACGGACACAATTCCGCTAGACACTGACAAAATACAGCAACTTCTACATATGATTTCTGTCTGTCTGTCTGTCTGGATTCAACATAGAACTTGGCACCGAAGTGCAGCAGTTCGAGTTGCCACGTTCCAAATAGCACACAGAGGTAGACAAGAAGATGAGTGAAGAGAATCAATAGAGTTTGACAAGTATAAGAGTGAAACAGAATGGGTAATGGTAGAAAGGAATATGAAAGATTACAGAGACTGAATACATCTGCGCCATTGACAACGATTTTGAGCCATGTCACCTATTGTCTCCAGCCATTGATTCCTAGAGTCCCGAGGGCCCCAACCCGGGAGTCTGCATCTCCCTACCTGACTCAGTTTAACTGTCAAGGATTTCATGGATTGATGCCATGTTTTTGTTTGGCCACCACTGGCTCTTTTCCAACCTGAACCTATATCAGCTAGCAATGCCCGTCGGGGGAGGCGGTGGTTAGGCATGCGCAGCACGTGACCTAGCCATCTTAGTCTATGTAACTTTATAGCCTCGTCGATTGATTTTCCCTCTTTGCCCAACACTCTACGCCTAACGTCAACATTACTTATCTTGTGAAACCACCTAACGTGAGACAGAGATCGCAGACATCTATGATCGAAAGCAGTCAACCTTTTCATGTCTTCAACGCGTATTGGCCATGTTTCAGAGCCATAGAGAAGGACGGAGCGAACTGATGAGCAGTACACACGTCCCTTGGTTGATAACCGGATGTCACGCCTACGCCAGAGATGGTGTAAGTCAGCGAAAGCAGCTCGAGCTTTTCGGATCCGTGCTGAGATTTCATCGCCAATCAGTCCGTTGGTGCTAATACAACTTCCCAAGTAGGTGAAGTGGTCAACATGTTCTATCACTTCACTCCCTATCACTAAGTTAGGGGTTGACGTGGTCCAGTCCTGTAGCAGCATCTTACATTTTGCAGGGGCGAATCGCATGCCAAACATACGAAGATTGCTGCTCAAGGTGTTCAGAAGACTCTGCATTTTGTCAGCATCCTCCCCTAACAGGACTATGTCATCTGCATATTCTAAGTCCATAAGATTATTCCCTGGTAACAAGTCGATTCCTAAGTCACTACGTTCAGTTAAGGATACTTCCATTAGCATATCTATGATGAAGTTAAACAGAAATGGGGAAAGTGGACATCCCTGTCGGACACCACTGGTTGTTACCAATTCAGATGACAATTCCCCATAAGCCCTTACACGACTACGTGAGTTTGAATAGAGTGCCTTGATTAGTGCAATGTACTTTCTTGGCACTCCCTTCACAGTCAGACATTGCCATAGTACCTTTCGATCCACGGAGTCGAAGGCCGCCTTCAAGTCAAGAAATATGACAATTGTTGGACGCCGAAAAGTGTGTCTATGTTCTAGAATCTGTCGAAGAGTGAAGATATGATCTATGCACCCTCTACCTGGTCTAAAGCCTGCTTGATTTTCCCTTGTCTGTTCCTCCCGAGTTCTGCTTAGTCTATGCATGATTACTGAGCCTAGGATTTTAGAGACTATGTTCGTTAGGCTGATCCCCCTATGATTATCACACGAGGACTTGTTTCCCTTCTTGAATATCGGTATAATAAGTGACTTACCCCAGTCTGATGGAACTGTCTCTGATTCCCAGACTTTGCCTAGTACCTCAGTTAATCTACAAACTAGTATGTCACCCCCATATTTAAACACCTCCGGAATAATTCCGTCGGGTCCTGCCGCTTTGCCTCGTTTCAAATTACTGATAGCTTTTGTAACCTCACCTACAGACGGCGGACCAGTGTCTATATCCCATTCGGGTACGTGGTGGATGGCGGGGAGGTTCAGTGTGGCTGTAGGCAAGTTAAATTGTTCCTCAAAGTGTTCTTTCCAGCGTTCAAGGCGTCTATCCTGAGAGCTAATTAAGGAGCCATTTTTCTCAGAAATAGTCTCACTTATGAATTGCCTTCTCCCACCCGATTCTGTGATGAGTCTAAAGAGTTGCCTAGTGTTGCCTATCGCCGATGCTTTTTCCATCTCTTTTGCCTTTGTCACCCACCACTGTTCACGGTCCTTGCGGAGACTTTTAGTAAGTTTCCTTTTGTGCAGCTTTCGCTCCTCATTGAATTCGGAGCTCGCCGGAATAAGTCTTCTAGCATCTATCAGTTCGGATGAGGCAGTCGAAATCCAGTGGTTTTTACTCACCTTTGGATTTGCCTTATTCACAGCTTTTACAGCTGTATCTATAGCTGACTGAATATTCTTCCAGGCTTCTCCAGGGTGAGCACAGCTGTCGAATTCAGATATGCGTTTAGCTAGTTCTTCCTCAAATAGGGATTTAGTTTCCTGATCGAGCTGGGGACGTGATGGTTTTACCGCCAGCTGTTTCCTACGTCCGTTCAGTCGTAAGCACACACGAGCCCGGACCAGTGCGTGATCGGTATCTACACACGTGTTCCAGAAGGAGCGACAATCTCCTACCGACCCACGCCAACGATAGCTTATTGCTATGTGGTCTATTTGTGTCCAGCGTTGGTTTGATGATGGGGGTCGCCAGGTTAAACAGTGTCTCTCCTTGTGTTTAAAGTTAGTGCTTACAAGAAACAAATGATTATCTGAACAGAACTGTAGGAGACGGTCACCGTTGTCGGTTCGCTGGCACGGAACTCCATAGGTGCCACCGACATCCTTCTCAGATTGACACAATTTCCCTACTTGAGCATTAAAGTCACCAGCTAGAACGACTATATCTGAGCGTTTAGCCTTTCGCACCAAACTAGACAGCTTTTGGTAGAACTCATCCTTCGTTTCATCCGAACTGCAGTCAGTGGGGGCGTAGGCGGAGATTACAAAAAGGCATCGGCGAGTAGTGCAGTCCTTTCTCCTTCTTACTGATCCGTTCAGACGGACAGCACACATTCGGCTATCTACCGGGATCCAGTCAAGTAATGTCTTTTCTGCCCTAGTACTCAGAGCTATCCCTACGCCAGCTAATCCTCATGAACTAGCTGTGGCATCTCCTGACACCCTCAAGGTGAATTTCGAAGATTCATCCTGTTGGCCAGGTGGGGTTAGGTGAATAACCACACTTGGGTTATGTTTAGACTAGAAATGGAACAACAATTCAGTCAACGACAGAGATGAATCTTGATTGGTTGAAATATCCAAGACGTATATTACAAATGATGATCCACGCCCTCAAACGACAGACGAAACTGACTTACGTAAGAACAGTTCGAGAGTAAGTTCGGGATGGCACCATCCCATCGATTCTCTTACTGTTGGTTTGAGCCATGTATTGCGGTGACTCATGGTAACGAGAGTGCTAAGAATCAATGTCCCAAAAGTCGTACTGGTACGACCAACAATAGTTCAAAATGGTATGTATGTATTCACCATTTACCATCGGGTTTCTGAACATTCTTTTTCGTGTGCTGTTTAAAAGTCTGGGAATTTTCACTATGCAACGTTTTACATCAACTTGTCTGTCTTTCCTTCCTTAAAGCGACACAACCAGGCGCCTTTGCTGGTAATTCAAATCCAGTCTGTCTATTATGTTAGTTAGATACGTGAGTGTCACTTAGCCACTGAATGCAGTAGATCACAGCAGTTCGCCAGTTAAATTGCTCTAATTTAAGAGATCAGCTTAACTTCGATAAAATATACGTCGCCGAACATTCCATTTCACAGCCTATCGTGCTAACTGACTACAGCTGCTTCACTCCCTTATGTGGATACTCACAATGGACACATAATTGTGAAATCTAAAGAGTCTATTGAAAAGACAATCCTTATTAACCACTGTTTTAATTTGATAATATTCAGTGTTATCGTATATTTAACAACTGTCGCACAAAATATGTACAAGCATATTTTTTCATTACATATACAAATACAGAGTAAGCATTAAACTCATCAATAGAAAATCATGTAATCCAAGTGAAAAATCATACATTTTGCAGGGGAGTGGTCGGAACCCAGAAGTATGGGATGCCTTTAGACAGACATGTCACAGAACTATGAAGATATCTGTAGTACAATAGAAGAAAATGAAAGCAAATATATCGACACTGCCAAAGATATACGTATTATTTACAGACTGTGAAAGACACCGGACCAATTTGCCTTTTACAAAATATTCAGTGTGGAACTGCCATCGAAAACAACCAGCAACAAACAAATCAACGTAGGCTCTTGAATATCGCCACATCACTGAATAAAATGCTAGTCAACAGAAAGAGATGGGTATTAGAACATATAAAAAATTTCCAAAATGAAATTAAGAACAATAAATATTACAATGAGCAAAACGAGATAGGACAATTGACCAAACGTTAAGAAACTCCAAAACTTAAAGGATGAACACATATGTAACATGGTGATAAATTCTAGGCTAAATCTTTGGGAATCTTCAACAGTTGATTCCTGAGACTTAGAGTTTTAGCTACGTAGTATACAGCCTCTTAAAAGACTCGGACTAAGGAACACAGACCTCGCCAGCTATGAAAACCTGCACGCACCGGCCGATCTTGAAAAATTAACTGATTGATTGGTTTCAACACAGACATGCAGTGGTTCGAGTTGCCACACTTCACTCAGCAAATAAAGAGAAGAAAGTAAAAAGAAATGCAAAACAGAGACACTAAACAGATATATGAGGCAAAAAGAATAGTAATATCGAAGAACCATATAATTTTATTGGATATTCTCAGTCACAGACATTGACAACGATGAGTTTCAGCCAACTCACCAATGGTCTCCAGTCATCGGTTTTTACTGTCCCGAGGACCCCAACCAGGAAGTCTACACCTTCCTACGTGATTTAAACTAACTGTTATGGATTCCATTAACTGATGAAGCCATGTTTTGGTTTGACCACCACTAGATAATTCTTTTCTAACCTGATTCACCCTATGTCAGTCAGCTAACATTACCCATTGTCGAAGGTATGTGTGACACATTTCCTAACCATCTCAATTGATGTAAATTCACAACCTCGTCAATTGATTTCCCCTGCCTCCTTACCTAGCACTCGACCGATGCCTAACCTCAATATTACTCACCAACCTATTATACCATCATCTAACACAGGAGACAGAATGCAGACACATGATCAAAGACAGCTAGTCAGGGTTTCTGTCTTCCACTTTCAACGGCCATGTATCGCTCACAGCCATAAAGGAGGACAGAGCGAAGTACTGAGCAGTACGCACGTACTTTACTCGATAGGTAGCCGGATATCACGTCTACGCCAGAGTCGGCGTAAACTGGCAAATGCGAAACGAGTCTTCTGCATCCGTGCTGAGATTTCCTAAGCGATCAACCCGTTGGCGTTGGCTGAAGCAACTTCCCAAATAAGTGAAGTGATCAATACGCTCCACAAACCACTCCACTTCCTATTTCTAAACTAGGAGTCAGTGTAGTCCAGTCGTGTAACATCATCTTACATTTGGTGGGAGCGAATCGCCTACCAAACATTCGTAGATTGCAGCTCAAAAGACTGCATTTTGTCAGCGTCTTGACTAGTAGGACTACATCGTCTTCATATTTTAAGTCAACGAGATTATTTCCTGGTAACAAGTCAATCCCTGAGTCTTTGAAGTGAGTTAGGGTTAAGTCCATTAGTACATCTATGATGAAATTGAATAGAAATAGGAACACCAATAGTTGTCACCACCTCAGATGACAACTCGACATAAGCTATCACCTGGCTGACTGCATGAGTTCGAGTAGAGTACCTTGATCAGTGCAATGTATTTCATCGGCAATCCCTTCCTCGCTAAACATGGCCATAGTACCTCTCGGTCGACAGTATCGAATGCCGTCTTTAGGTCAAGAAACATGACGATTGTTGGACGCCGGTAAGTATACCTATGTTCCAGAATCTGTCGAAGGATGAAGATATGATCAATACACTCTCTTCCTAGTATAAAGCCTGCCTGGTTCTCTCGAGAACTGCTTAGTCTACGCATGATTATTGACCCTGGAATCTTAGATACCATAGTATTCAGGCTAATCCCCCGGTGATTTGCCTCCCTTCTTGTATAACCGTATAATCAATGACTTACACCAATTCGACGGGACTTCCTCCGATTCCCAGACGCTGCCTAGTACCTTAGTTAACACAGACAGTAAACTGCCTCCGCCATCCTCTGGAGTCATTCTATCGGGTCCCGCAGTTTTGCCTTGTTTCAGACTAGTGACATCTATACTAACATCAGTTAGGGACGCTGGACCTGTGTCTATATCCCATTCAGGGAGGTGTTGGATGTTCGGTAAGATGAGCGTGGTTGTAGGCCAATTAAATTGCTCCTCAAAGTGCTCTTTCCAGCGTTGCAGTCGTCTATCCTGACAGCTAATTATGGCACCATTTTCCTCAGAGATTGTTTCACTCATCCTTTCCCGTTTCCCTGATAAGCTTAAATAGTTGTCTGGCATTATCAATCGCCGATACCTTTTCCATCTCTTTCGCTTTTGTCGCCCACCACTGATGATGGTCGTTTCGAAGGCTTCTTGTTAGTTTGCGTTTGAGTAGCTTTCGTTCCTCATCATAATCGGAGCTCACCGGAGTCAGTCTTCTTGCGTCAATCAGTTCGGATGAGGTAGTAGAAATTCACTGGCTCTTACAAATTTTTGTTTTTAGCTTATTAACAGCTTTTACAGCTAACTGTATGTTGTGCCAGGGTACCTCAGGGGGAATTCCTGCTGTCAACCACAGATACTCGTTTCGCTATTTCCTCCTTAAATAGGGACTCAGAGTCTTGATCTAGATGGCGACGCAACTGCTTCGCTACCAGCAATTTCTTATGTCCGTTTAAACGTAAGCATAAACGTGCGCGAACGAGGGCGTGATCGGAGTCTACGCACGTATTCCAGAAGGAGCGACAGTCTTCAGATGACCCTTACCAACGATACTCTACTGCTATGTGATCTATCTGAGTCCAGCATTGATTTGGTGATGGAGGTCGCCACCAGGTCACACAATGTCTCTCTTGGTGCCTAAAGTTATTGCTGAGTAGGAACAGATAACTATCTGAGCAGAATTGTAGAAGACGATCACCATTTTCTGTTAGTTGATAGGGAACTCCGTACGTACCACCCACATACTTCTCAGTCTGGTATAACTTACCTACTTGGGCATTGAAGTCACCTGCTAAAACGACTGTCTGAGTGTTTTGCTTCTTGCAGAAACCTAGACAGTTTCTGGTATAAATCATACTTTAATTCATCCGAACTGCAGTCTGTTGGGACGTAAGGGGAGACTACGAAAAGACAACGATGGGTAATACCGTCCTTCCTTCTCCTATCGGGACCGTTCAGACGGACTGCACACATACGACTGTCTACTGGGAACTAATCATGAGGGGATTTTTCTGCTCAATGCTATACCCGCACCTGCGAGTTCTCGAGAAATAGCTGAGGGGTCTCCTGACACCCTTAAAGTCAATTTTGCAGATTCACCTTGTTGGTCGGGTGAGGTTAAGTGAATGACCACACTCTGGTCTTGTATGCTTGTCTGCGAGACAACATAAATCCATGGCTCGAGAAAGCAGAGTTCTAGATAGTGATGCAGAGGGTCCTGACGTGAATGCCCCTACATGAAGTTGGCGACGCGGCTTTAAGAGGCTGTCGGGAATGTTTCTATGGCTCTCATTGTTGTTTCTGGTCACAGAGTGAAGTGAAGATGACTCACTAGTCTGAAGAACAGAACTGGCTATGGTAGGGAATTGAGACGATGAGGATGATGTGCATAAAGGAGAATGATGACCAGGAAAGCTTCGTGTGCTGTTGGACGTGTGTGGGCAGTTGTTACTTCCCGACTGCCCACTACAAATACCACATGAGAACTATCATTAGAAACCCTGTAATGTTATCCTTATAATTGTTTTAATTATTATTCCATAAAAATAGATGCAAAATGTACCAAATGCTGCAAATTCCGAACTGTATCATAAGTACGGTTGTGGAAAAAAATTATTATTAACATCGGTCATCGAGGAAGGCAATGGCTGAGCATACGTAACAAGTCCTAACCACAATGCAAAGATAGACTCATGCTAATAGTGATGGGTTTTTTAATTGCAGAGCCTGAAAAATTTATTTTAAACCATTGTTCGCTCTGATTATTGTTGTTCTGAATAAGTAATGTATATTTTCAAGGATGAAAAAAGTAAGTATTCACAGGGCACACTTGTGATAGCAGGTGCACAAAATAATTTGTCACACAAGTTAATGTCACAGTATCAAAGTGAGAATCATACCAACCCACTCTGTATTACATTACTCTCTAAAACTCAGAGCACAGGCGTTATTGTAGCAGGGTATATTGACTACCCAACACATATTTACGAGGTTGTTTTGTAATCAGTAGGATGGCGAGAACGCAGATGACATGCCCACCTCAGAGTTGTCATGTGAGGGGTATGAATATGGAAATTGATGGAAATATCATGAAGAATTAGAATATTTCCACCGTTCGCACACTTTTAGGACTAAGATTTGTGACTTAGAAGAAATTATAAAGTAGCTGAAATATGTGCGTTACTAACTGTGGCATACAGACTAAAATTACAATAACAACCCCCTAAAAATACACGTGAAAATAATAAAAACTTACAAGAAGCGAGGTTTCACTTCAACACTCATTTACGAAAACTTCTAACAACCATACTGCTCGAAAGTTTACGACTTTTTGGGGGTATCAAGTCATCTGCATCCTGCTCAAACACCGCAGTAGAATGCATTAGCGGTGTGTCTGGTGCGTTTCCATTGTCATAAGACATACATTGTGGGTATCTCAGAAATAGAAAATGCCAATAAAGGGTTTACCTCTTAAGGCTATCTATCGTTCTCTTTTTTTCATTCAAAACGGCTGAGAATTTCGAAAGCAGGACTGTTTCTTTATCCTCCATTTCTGACACCAATTCTTTGTACCTCTGAAAATATTTCAATCTCAAATATTACCTTTGTCGAAACTTCTGCTAACGACCTAAGGATTTCGTTTTCCTTCTTCGTATCTTGCAAACAAGTTAATAAACCAGTACAACCAGCGACGAATTTAAATGTAAATTCCCCTACAAACTTCAAAGTATCTTGTGCACGTTGTAAACGAAAAGACCCGAGAACAATCTGAGTTGTAATTTGGAAATATTCTACCTACTTTGATGCCATTCTTGATTTCTTTAGACCATACAAACTTCAAGTCTAGACCATCCTCTGATAAAGAGAAATACCGCGACGGATCAGTGGAACTAAACGATTCAAAAAAATTTTGCATGTACTGCTCTCGTGACTGCTTAACTGAGTCACACATCACATCCAATTCCTTGCCATCCACTGCCATTATTTGTAAAGAAAAGAAATGAACAAACCCAGTAAACACCAAAACCCATCTTTATGGGCTACAACGAGGAGGGAACCCGACTCATAGAGAAATGAAACACCATAGCCATTGACTTTTGCCTGTCCACAATACTTTATTTGCATTCCCACAGTAAAGACAGACAGAAAAGTCAAGAAATATATCAGCTAAATTGCAACAGACGCACGCTGCTCCGCATAAAGGCCGAGCTCCTGAAGGTCACTTACGCAGACTGTGATTGGCAGACTTTCTTTTGCGTGAACATGAGGCTAACATGAGGCTGAAGCAGAATTTGAAATCAGATTGACATTACACAGTTAGATGATTGTGAGCAATAGTTTGTGCTTGAAACGTCGTCAGTGAATATTACTGTGTAACACTGTGTGATTTATCAAAATAGAACCTTATCCCTAATGGAGTTATGCTCTACCACAGTGCCCAAGTTTTATACTTATATCAATAATACAGTCAGATATATTGATTGAGGATAGATGGTCTGTAGCTTATGTTAATCCTTTCCTATTAAATTTCTGTGCTTGTCTAACTCCTTCTTGAATTTGTCAGCAGAGTGCTTTGACACTACTTCTTCTGGGAGTTGGTTCAAGTTGTTGAATAGGAGTGAGAACCAGTACCCCAAAGTTATATAGTTCCTCATTGGTTTTTGAACTATCCTGCTATGTCCTCTGAGGTGTTCCGGCCCAACGGGAAGAAGAAGAGGGGAAAGAACATGTCAGTAGTCATTCCTTAGAGTTTTAAACATTATGATTAGATCTTTCTACCTACGATATGACAGGAAGAAGCAGTTTAAACTGTTTCGTCTCTTTTCATATGATAAATTGATCATGCCGAGAAAAATACGTTTTGCCTTCCGTCGAAACCTTTCTAGAATGTGAGCCTCCTCCAAGACAAGGGCTGGCTGCCAGGGTATAGTTTTCCTGTCCTGAACTCACGAGAGATATATCTAGGTAAATGAACATGTCTCTAGGAATTCTAGTGAGGGCTCTGCGAAGTTATCATATAGATCTGAAACTATTTGCAGCCAATGCACGACAGTGTCCTGTAGTTTGTAAGTGGTGACTAAGCACGACACCTGAATACCAATGAGTCTGAACTGATGAGAGTGTTATTCCCCCTAGTTCATATCGGCTGTTGTTGACGTGCCCCATACGCACGGTTTTGCACTTTGATACGTTGGTCGGAAACACTCAGTCTCTGGACCACTCTAACAGTTTGTCAAGGTCCACCTGCAATTTAAGCACCCTTCAGCTCCTCTCGAATCTTTAAGTCATCTGCGCACAGGACCATAAGGGAATAGGTGAGCAGAGATAACTCATCGAAATACAAAACAATAAGTTGAGACAGGATGCAGTACTTTGTGGCCCTCCACTATGTACTGCTGTCCAGGAGAAGGGTTTTAAGTTGATCCTGACTATCTGTCTCCTACCTACTACGAGTTCCCCAATTCACTTTAGTAAGCCGCCTTTTGTTCTGAAACTTACCAACTTCCGAAGTAGTCTTTTGTGAGGTACTTTGTCGAGGGCCTTGCTTAAGTTTATGAAGATGAGTTCAAAGGTTCTTATGCTGTCACCTGACTTGACCCCGCTTCCTCTTACAATAAGGTTTGTAACGCATAAAAGGTTTCCTCGGAAGCCATTCTGTGCTCTGCACAAGAAGTTGCTGTTTTCCAGATATGCTCATGTGGTGAGAGCAGGCTGCTAGCCGATTGGTTGACACTAATCTACGTTAATGTCTAGGTCACTAATATGGGCCGTGAGAAAATATGAACAAGGCTGTTTCAACAACCAATCACAGCAAACTTAAATGTGGACAAATATGATTCGCAGATAGATGGCTCTACTTTCCGAGAAATATCGAAAACAACCAATCATAAGACTGTGTTTGTCTGCTTAACTTCCGAGAAACAACCAATCAGAAGACTGCCTTTTTCTGCTTGCATAAGCCTTATTAATGCACATAAAATATATATAAATACGTGTTGATTTTCGTAATAAAACGATCTGTTGCCAGCCCTTGTCTTCTGTTGTTACATTTGGTGTCGCTGCCTCCAAAAAGATGAAGATCCCGTGGCCAGCTGCGTTTGAAGAAGGAGACATACGGAGCTTCTTACGTGACTTCGAGGCCGTTGCTGAGCTGGTGGGTGTCAAGGAGCAGGCGGCGAAGGCAGTTGTCCTGGGGACGCTGTTGAGAGGCCGAGCGAAGGCTGCATATGACAGCGTAGACAGGTCAAATGGCACAGCGTCTTGGAAGAAATTGGTTGAACGACTAGTGTCCGAGTTTGACAGCGAAACAGACAGACAGCTAGCAATGCAGCAGTTCCGGTCAATGAAGCTTGGACCTGATGGAGACCCGCTAGTGTTGGCGGTGAAACTGACTAATCTACTTCGACGCGCGCTTCCCACTTTAGATGAAGAATCAGAAGCGCAGTTACTGTCTTCCCAATTCATCGAGAGTGTCCCAGACCACATTTCTCAGCGATTACAACTGGTTAACGCAACGCAGCCGATGGATATTAGTGAGCTGGCGAAGGTGACCAGACAGCTGCTGAGCACAACGGTAGCCGCTATAGACCAACCAAAACCAAACGAATATGAGCAGAAAATTGAAGCATTGCAGCGGGAAGTGGCGGCGTTAAAGTTGGCTGATAGAAAAGACCGGTGTTTTGAATGCGGTAAGCCGGGACACTGGAGAAGATACTGCCCAGAAAGGCGAAAAAGAAAAAATTTCAGACGGTATAATGCTTGTTCTTTCTTTCGTATGAACCTAGATTTAGTGGGGGCTATTGAGAAAGGGCTCTGTATTCGAAGTTGCGAGTGAATGATCGAGAAGTAGTATGTTTGATAGATACAGGGGCGGCCGTGTCGTTAATAGATAAGAATTTATGTAAGAGTGTTAGTCCGTGTTCATTGACAGTACAAACAGTAGGCGGGTATGTGTTGCGTATCACGGGTAGATCGAACTGTACGGTCGTTGTTGGTGGCTGCGAGGTGACGTTTCCTTTCATTGTTGTACCCGAACTACAGCGAACGATATTAGGAGCGGATTTTCTGCGTGAGATTGGTGCAATAATCGACACGCAAGCGAACGTGGTGATCACGAAATACGGGCATATCAACATGTATGAGACCAGCGAGATAGCAGCGATTAAGCTGTCGACGGTACACAATGTGACAGAGTTAATTAATAAATACGATCATCTGTTCACTGGAGATGGCGACCCATACGGTTATTGCGATAAGGTGAATCATGAAATTCCGTTAAGTGATCCGAAAGTAAGGTCATTTTTAACGCGAAGAGTTCCATGTCATCTGGAAGGCGAAGTGGAGCGACAAGTGCAAGAGATGTTAAAAGATGATATTATTGAGGAAGCTGATAGCCCGTACAACTCTCCAGTGCTGTTAGTAAAAAAAGCGAATGGGAAGTATAGATTCTGTGTTGATTTTCGACAGTTAAACAGTATGACAGAGTTAAGACCGTGTGCCATGCCAACAGTGGTAGAAACTTTAGATCGCCTACAAGGTGCGAATGTGTTTTCGGTTCTCGATCTTCGCTCAGGATACTGGCAGATACCGATAAAACAAGGTGATAGAGATAAGACGGCTTTCATCGTGGGTCAGACACAATATCGATTTAAACGCATGCCGTTTGGACTAGCAGGTGCACCGTTTACGTTCAGACGACTGATGAAGCTATTACTTAGAAACTTGAAAAACGTGGAGGTTTATGGTGATGATCTCGTCATATACAGTCAAAACGAAAACGATCACGTCAACCATGTAGAAGCCGTGCTGCGACGCATCGAAGAGTTTGGACTACGCGTCAACAAAACCAAGTCTCAGATAGCCAAAAAGAATGTTACTCTGTTGGGACATAAAGTGGGAAATGGTGAGATTAAACCACTGCCGGAGAAAATTTTGACGATTAAAACGATTCCAGCCCCGAATTCAAAGAGAAAACTGAGACAATTCTTGGGTAGAGCAGCGTTTTATAGTCGCTTCGTGAAGAACTTCAATGAGATAGCAGCCCCTCTATACAGGCTACTAGGTGAGCCAAAGTTTGTTTGGTCGGAAGAATCGCAGAGGACATTCGACAGAATTAAACAGCTGCTCGACCACCAACAAATGACGCTAAAACTACCTGTGCCAGGAAGACAGTTCACAGTGTGCACAGATGCCAGTGACTACGCTATAGGTGCGGTCCTAAGACAGGACGAGGGAATCGTTGAGTATGCCAGTAGGGTTTTGACCCTCACAGAGAGAAAGTATTCAACGATAGAGAAAGAATGTTTAGCAATGGTATGGGCAGTCGACAAATGGAGACCTTATTTACTCGGCCGGCGGTTCCACATCGAAACTGATCATAAGCCGCTACAATTTTTGAAGACAGCGAGAGACCCACGGGGGAAGTTGTCACGGTGGATGTTGCGTCTTCAGGAGTACGATTTTACGATCTCACACGTTCCTGGAAGTGAAAATGTCTTGGCAGATTTGTTATCGAGACCAGAAGATGAGTCTGAGTTGCCCGAGGTCGCTTACGGAGTGCATGCAGTAGAACAAGACCCACTAAGACTTGCACGTAGGCAGAGGTTGGACGATACGCTGAATACAGTAATACAGGTGATCACCAACGGAATAGAAGTGGATCAAACTACGGCGAGTAAGGAGCTAACCACACTACTCAGACAGAGGGATCGACTCAGAGTGAATGCCTACGGGACTCTGACCTGGCGAGAGAACGACGGAAGCTGGCTGGCTGTCATACCTCAATCGTCGCGCCACGACATGATAGAAGAATGTCACCAGCTAGCGCATACAGGCGTGGCCAGAACGACCGACCTCCTAAGACAAAGTATGTACTGGCCAGGTATGAGAGAAGACGTAGCAAGATACGTACTTGGATGTCCACGGTGCCAGCTGATGAAAGGTGACCGGTATATACGACCACCACTTCAGTCGATTCCAGTTACCGCGATAGGTGACTTGTGGTCCGTAGATGTCATGGGTCCATTTCCTCAGACATCCAATGGTAATCAGTACCTCTTGGTGATGACGGAACACGCGACACGATGGGTAGACGCCGTAGCAATCCCAGACCAACGTGCAAGAACCGTGACAGATGCAGTAGTTAGACACATTGTTGCAGACCACGGCGTACCGAAGACAATACTGACAGACCAAGGTCCCTGTTTCGAGAGTGAAGAGTTTACTTCCCGTTTGCAACAGCTGGGCATCAAGAGGATCAGAACGACCCCATACCATCCACAAACGAATGGCCTAACGGAGAGAAACAACCGTACACTGAAGGAGTGGCTGGCCTCGAAGGGCGGG